GGGCAGGGAAAAGGGCACTTGTGGGGATGAGCACTGGGTGTTATATGGAAACCAACTTGACAATAAACTATATGTAAAAAAAATAAAAANGATGAGCACTGGGTGTTATATGGAAACCAACTTGACAATAAACTATATGTAAAAAAAATAAAAAACCCCACACACACAAAAGAAATCAAATGATTGGTGTAAAGTCTACAAGACAGTAATATGTTAGAAGAAATACAAAGGGCTAGAGTACTAGAATTCTGCAAAGCAAAATCATTTTAAAATTAATTTTAGTAGGTACTTAACTTATAATGGTATTTTCCAAGAGTGTTTATACACACAGCCTCCAATTCGCAAATGTAACCACCAACTTAATTAGTAGTAACACAATGCCATAGAATAGCTCCTGTTTATACAGACAAGATCTTTAACAACATTAAAAGTTTAATGCTGTCATAAATTTTAATATAATATTTTAAACACAAGTGAGTTAATCACTCTCAAAAGTAAATTTACTTAACTGGGTAAGAAATCCCCAGCTTCATTAGTATTCTGTTACATTAATAAATCCTCCTTTGTCATATCCAAGGGTTCACAGGATTGGCACTGGCTGTAGCTATATAAAAAATCAATCAAACTGATGTATATTCATAAAGTGACTGCTCTGAACAGAGTGATGGCATTTGTCTTCATTCTGTTATAAGGGGAACAAGGGCTTAAGCATATCACAGCCTCACTGGGTGTCACCAAAGAAAATCAGAAGATTGTATTAAATGATTATTAAGGCTTCATTCTTGCTCTAACCAAAGGCAGTTCTATAATTTTATATGTCTTGAAAAGCTCCAGGTACTGAAGAGTATGTCAGAGTAGGGTAATATGTAGCCCCTCCACTCATATGCAATGAAATCCAAGTTAAAATATAAAGACATCATCTTGGAAAGGAGGCAAAGGTCATTATCAGACATCACCTTATTAGGGCTTAGCTCTGAGCAGCTGGAGTACCCAGGATGAGTAGTTACTGAGAAGAAAAAGACTGAAGCAGGCCTTATAAATCAAGTGCCTATCTGAGTCAGGCAAAGAGCATAAATAAGTGGGCAGAGCCGGGTAGGAGTTGTGGAAAAATTGATGGCTGTTCCTCAGCTCCTGTTAACTGGGGCTTGTAGGGCCCTGTGTTATCCCAGCTTCAGATTTTCAAAAAGAATCTCCAAAATCTAGAAAACATTCTGATTTTAAGTTTATTTATTTTGAGAGAGAGAGAGAGAGTGGGAGAGGGGCAGAGAGAGAATGAGAGAGAATCCCAAGCAGGCTCATGCTTCATGCAGGGCTCGATCTCATGGACCATGAGATCATAACTTGAGCTGAAATCAAGAATCAGACATTTAACCCACTGAGGCACCCCAAAACCTCCTAATTTTTAAATATTGAATCAAAATATTTTAAAACATTTTGTAAGTCAAATGTATCCCCACACTAGATAAACCACAGGATACCAAATTTAGATCTCTGCTCTGGGGCACTGTACAAGGAAGATAACAAGGGCATGGCAAAGAGGAGGATCGATGCAATAAAAGAAGATGGAGGGGGCAAAATCAGTATCTGTGGTTGGCTTTCTGGAAGAACATGCAAACTGGGAGGTTGGAAGTAGGTAGAATAATGTTTCTAAACCTTTTGGTCATGAGTATCCTCCAAGATTCTGATAAATGCTTTAAAGATCTTCCCTGGAAAACATTTTTTATGTAGTAAGCAGAATAATGGCACAAAACACAAACACACGTACACCGTTACCCATGTCCTTATTTTTTGTCCCACTCCACATGTCATTACATGACAAAAGGGATTCAGTAGATATGATTAAGTTAAGGACCTTGAGATGGGGAGATTAATGTGGGTTATCTGAGTCAGTACAATCTAATCCCATGAATCCTTTAAATCAGAAAATCTTTGCTTGGCATGGCCAGAGAGACACGTATGGAAGAATGCTCAGAGATGCAATGTTGCTTACTTTTCAGGGGAAGAAGGCACACAAGTCAAGTAATGTAGGCATCCTCTGGAAATTGGAAAAGGCAAGGAAATAGATGGATTCCCCCCTGTAGACTCTAGGCAGGCCTACTGACATCTTTATTTTAGCCCGAGGATATTCATGTTGGACATGAACTGTAAGATTTTATAAATGTGTCTTGTTTTAAGCTACAAATTTGTGGTCACTTGTTACAGTAGCAACAGAAAACCAATATGATATATACATACTCAAGCTTTAGACAAAAACATTCAAAATCCTCTCTGAAGCTCATCCATAAACATAGATATAAACTCCCTCTGTGAGAAAGAGTTTATGATACAATACTCTAAGAACTAAAGGTATGAAACTTTTCCTCATAGGTATGAATGCAAAGATCAGATACCATCTCATAACACAATTAGCTCCAAAACTTCTACAAGGATGGATGAATTCTCTGAAGACTAACCACTCCTTTGAGTCTTGCTGAAGTGACATGTGACCCCTTGAAAGCAGAAAGATCTTTCTTCCCTTTTTCAAAGTGTTCATTATGCAAATAAAATACCCCTCCCCCCACCCTCAGCCCCAAGAAGGTGGCATTTTACACCTGTTGAGATTTAGGTTGGCTCCTTCCCTCACTTCGAGTCAGACCTAGGTCTGGAGTGTCCTGTTACAGAATCATGTCTCTATCAAGATCTCACTGGGCACCATATGCCTGAACCTGGCCATATGCTGACATAAAAGGAATGTTATCAGGAATGTGAGCTACCTGACTCAAAGTCGTTTTTAGCCTCAGATCTCATTTCACCAGTTCATCAAATTTCAGAATCCCTGTAATATTTTGATTTTTTTTTAGGTTTCATTACAATGTCCCTAGGTGATGCCACCAGGGTTGTGACAAATAACTCTGTAGTTTAAAAGTTACCAACCCAACCTAAATACTAAACTTAACAGTACCAGATATAAGTGGTCTAACATGGTGTTCTGATCTGAGACTTAACACCAGATCATGTGGTTCCTAAAACTGGGGTGCAGAATATTATGGAATGGTGCTAGTTCAGAAAGCTAGATCGTATCAAAGTGGAACCTGGAGGCTAGAAAGGAAGAGAAGAAAAGGAAAACAGGGTATTTGGGGTCCTATGAAGGTTTGTTAAGATGTAGAAGTGGCCAATGTGTTGGGGAGAGAAAAGGCTGACTTAATGAAGGCTGACCAGTGACCCTGACTGTATTCCTTTCCTTTTGCTGACATGAAGAGGAGGTCTAAGAACCTCCTAAGATGTTACAAACTTGTGTATATGTGCATCTCTGCTTTTCTGAGAAAAGGTGTCATAGATCTGAAAATCCAAATTCAGCTGTAACTACCCACCCATCCTTAAATGTAAGAATTACTGCCTGGTACATTTCCTCAAGACTATTCTAATTCCATTCTCTTTGCTTTTACTAATCATATGTAAATGATTCCCAACACAGAACCCTATTAAATTTCTGACTTGCCCTCTGATAACAGGAATATTACCACTTACTTTTCCCATGGTAAATGAGAGATTAAATGGTTTAAAATTACCAAACACCAAGTATCCTTGAGAAAGTTAACTGCTAATATCATTTTCCCCTAACATTCTTTGTGGAATAGCCTCCCCAAAGAGCCACCATACATTCCATACACACAAAAAGCAATTTAGGGTTTTTTGTTTGTTTTATTATTTTGAAATATGTATGGGTATATAGTTGGCGATATTCTTGCTGAGGAAGGTGGTTACCAGTGTGGTAGAGGGGAGACAGGGTCACTACACAAATTTGGTTCTAGTAAGTCTAAAACAGCTTAATTTATAATAAAGTTTCACATAAGAAGGGAAATGCCCCAATCAGCAGAGAAATGACAAGGTTGAGTCTTACCTCACCTGAGGTCACGTAAGAATAAACAGAAAAGAGGGCAATTTGTGAGAACGGTAATACAAGACACCTATGAATACAGTTGAAAAGCGAGTCATCTTGCTTTTGGGGTTGCTTCAATCTTTTAAGGTTTTATGATTCTAAATTTAGTATTTGAATCTTTTAAAGCAAAATTATATAGCACAGCCAACTTCTCTGTAGTTGTTGATTCATTTAGGCTGTGCTTCCATAAAAAAATATCTAAAGGTCATGCTCAGAAGCATAGCACTCTCTTCCCACTGAGTGAGGGCTATGATTACACTGTACACAAGATCCTACAAAGACAGCTGACATAACCAGCAGCTGAATTCTTTCTTCTGTTTATTTCAAGAAGAGATTTTCAACACAGACAGCTGCAATGCCAGGCTCCTATCAGGATGCCATGCCAACTTGCTGTAGACAGCTTTATACCCACATCCTTGCCCTGGACCCAGCGCTGTCTCCAGCAGGTCTAGCAGACCAGAGAGGCCAGCCCCTGGTCTGCTTCAGCTGCCCCAAAGATACTACTTGGATAAGCACATAAGCTCACCTGGTATACTGTAATCAGACATTTGTGGGTTCAAATTCTGGCTGAGCTTTTTCACTTGGGCAACATCAGGCCAGTGCCTCAATGAGTCTCGACCTCAGGCTCTTCCTCCATAAAATGGGGCTATAAGTACTTACTTTATGAGGAAGTGATGAAGGCTAAATGTGATAATATGTAAAAAGAAACTGACTTGATGTCTACACTGTCATCACTAATTATCATTATCATGGAGGAAAAGCTAATCATTTCTAGCATGGAATGAAAGAGTACAAAATGAAATCAGCATTTCTTTCTCCAAGACTATCTCCTGTCCTCTCTTAGCTGTAAGGCTGATTATCTCCAAAATGAAGTCAGTGACAGTAGGTTATTTACATTTCCCTTTAATTCAGACTCAATGATACTCTCTTACAGCCCCTTAAAGCAGCTTCTGTGACTTGTAAGGAATGCCAGCTGATGTAGAAAGCCTTGCCTCTTGTGTGTGGGTGACAAGTACCAGCATCAGCATTTCTGGGAAAGCAACACCAGGCACAGCACAACTTCTGACAGCAAATGACTCACCTTTGTTGAACTCGCACTGTTTCTTCGTGCCTGAAGGGGTGATTTTGTGGACTCTCGTGGGCTTGTGTTCCTATTCTCCCCCGACACTCCGGCTGGCTGGGTACCACTTGCTCTGTCTCCTGCAAGAAGAAACAGCAAAAGCAGAGGAGCTGTCAGAAGCTATCAGTTCTAGTGTTCCATAGTGCTCTTCAGCTGAGAGTGGGTCATAGGGCAGGGAGCACTCTGCCAACTATAATTGGGGAAGGAAGCTAATAAGTAATTTGAAATTCAAGAAAACTCTATCAGTCAGTTGCTTCAAGATTACAGAATAAAGAGAAAAATAATTAAAAATCTAATGTTTAAGAGATATAATATAACCATACATTAAAATTTTCACATTAAAAATATTATAAAAGGGTATTGAATAGATATATCTGAAAATATAATTTCTGGAATATTTATAGGATTGGCTCATTTTTGTAAAAACAAACATATGTATGAATGTATACACACACAGATTGAGATACCAAAATCTTGACAGTGACTAACTCTGAGATGTCATTTCTTTTTTTTTCTTTTGGGGGCACATCTATATTTTTTACAATAAACACACTTTATTCCTATAATAAAAAATAAATTTAAGTTAGTCTAAAATTTAAGGAACATACCATTTCTATAAATTCCAAACATGCTTGATCTTCCTTCTGCCACTCCCTCTCTCTGGCATGCACACACACAGAACACACACACACACACTTGCCATTAGCTACACTGCATCCAAAGAAACCACTATATTGGTTATCTACTCATGTTGCAGTCCACTCATTAGTTTAGAAGTCCTGAATGCCAAACTCTCTAGAGAATATCATAAACACATCTAAGATAAAATGAATCTGGATTCACTATAAAGACACATACACTAAAAATTAAAGGTTTATATACATTCAACAGCTAAACCACTATAGTCTTTGAGGTATGCCAAACGTCTAATTAACAAGTTTTACTTAAAGCAAAATAACCCCTATTTACCTGATTAAAAAGATACTAAAACTATAATCAGTAAGAAATTCAGTAAATACAGATGGCTACTGTCATGCAGTGAAAAAAATTCATGTGCTGAAACACATTTGGGTCGTACTGAGCAGTATAGTGTGGTGGCGATAGAGACCAAGATTTCTTATTCTGAGTGTGGGCTAAAATCAGTACAAGTGGCAATATGTCAGGTCTCAGAGTCACTTTTCTAAAACATTAGAATAATGAGGTGGGGCTTTTTGTCAAGTATTCATCACAAGCTTCTAAAACAAAATTATATGAACACTTTTTTATAAAAGGGTTAAAGTGGGGACAGATAAGGAAAGGGATTAATTATACCACCATAATCTTTAAATTTCATTTTTCTGTCTCCAGCTTCAGGCCAAAAACTCTCTTGGATGTAGTAATTGCTTATGAAAAATTCTACAACTACCCCAATACTGGCAAATTTCCCCAAACAATAGCTTTCAAATGAGATAGCTCTGCTTACTACTTGCTAGGTATGTGACCTTAGACAAGTTACACCACTATCTAGGTCTCAGTTTCCTTGTTTGTAAAATGGGGATATTACTCCAAGGTCACAAAGTTGTTAACAAGATGTCACAAGAACATCTCTTAGTGCCTGTCAACTGGAGGCACACAGCAGATGGGAGCTTTGAATGCTAATATTGCTTTTATAAAAATTCCCTTGAAGCTCAATATTCTTTTTTTAATTATTAATGTTTATTTATTTTTGAGAGAGAGACAGAGTATGAGCAGAGGAGGGTCAGAGGGAGAGGGAGACACAGAATCTGAAGCGGGCTCTGAGCTGTCAGCACAGAGCCCAACACAAGACTCAAACTCACAAACCATGAGATCATGACCTGAGTGGAAGTCAGACACTTAACCGACTAAACCACCTAGGCATCCTAAGCTCAATATTCTTAAAGTAATGTTAAGGAAATCCTCAGAGACTTAACCCAAATAAGTTCACCAAAAGCAAGCCTATTTTTGTGGCAGGATGCTTGTTGCATATTTCTATATTATTAATATCATTTAAACATCATATTTAGAAGCCTCAGTACTTGTATGCCTAAAGGAAAGACTCTTCTAATCTCTAAAAAGTTTAAATCATGAATTTCCATATTATTAAAACTTTTCCTTTTATTAAAAAGTAGGAATTTTTTTCTTTTCAAAGACAATATCTTATCTAATCCTTTGAAGCCACAAAAATTTGAGAAGGGTTATAGGCCACACATGCTGGACTCCCATAGATTTTATGATTTATCTTAAAGATAAATAAGAAGGGGTGCCTGACTGGCTCAGTTGGAAGAACATGCAGCTCATTATTTTAGACATGTGAGTTGGAGCCCCATGTTGGGTGTGGAGATTACCTTAAAAAATTAAAAATCTTTTTTAAAAGATGAATAAATGGGGCTCTGGAGAAAGTGCCATAAGAGATCTTTCACTCATAAGAGTCTGTCACTTGAGAAGCATTGCAAGAGCAACACTTTTCCCTGGCATAGTTGGATAAAGTATTTGGTGACAGCTGACAATCAAGTTCCTGATTCAAGAGGAGAAAAAAATGGCATTGTCAGCCCTGCTTCTGCCCACTAAGAGTTTGGAAACTTCAAGATGGTATGGAGAACTTGGAAAGAGTAAGTAAGGAGTTTGGTATAAATCATCCTGAACATCAACCAAAAGAACAAACTCTGTTGTAAAATACAAGCATAATTGTAATGATGGATGCTGTACTTTCCAGTGACAAAATGTTAGGTTATTCTCCAAGTGTTGATCTCTAAAACCCCCTCAAACCATAAACAATTCCAGCCTCTCTGAAAATGCTGAATGGGTTCTTCCTTCCAAAGTTCCTATGAGTTTGAAAAATCTCATTTGTTAGAAAAGGAATAAGTATTTTCAGTTTAGTCCCTTCCACCTTATTATCTCTTAATGGAATGGCCCCAGGTGGACCAATAGCCTCAGCAACCCTACATGGGAATGAAAACCTTCAGCTGATTCTTACTTGTAGGCTATGTGTCTTCTAGCTCAGGCCCCAAGCATCATGAAGTGAAACAACACCTCCCTATTATTCCCTAAATGAATTCCTAACCCACAGAAACCACAAGACATAAGAAAAAAATTATTTGTTTTAAGTGTTGGGGCTGTTATGCAACTATAGATAACTAAAACACCACTACCTTTCTTTCTTAATCTAAGACATACCAATTATAAAAGCCACCATTAGCTTACTTAAATAACATTTTAGGGGAAAAATGACACATTAAATGCATCCACCAAGTTTAAAGTATAATCAGATATAAGCAAGTTAAAGTGTGAAAAATATGTGTTTTGGCATCAAGGATACTCAGATCACGCCCAACAGAACATAGTAGTATGTGTGACACAAAAGGAGTCCTGTCAGTAGGACACACCAGAAAAAGTAACTTCAAGAGTCAAATCTAAAAATTACTCAAGAACCTCATAAGAAATAGAGGAGTAAACCCCAATTCTTACCTGCTCCAGTTTTAAAAATAATTTCATGACTTTCCTTAAAGGGATAAGGCAGAGGGGAAAAAGATATCATTCTAAATAAATTAACAAAACAATAGCTTCCAAAAGTATTGTGCTGCCAGGTATCATTTATTTATAAGGACATAAGGGAAAGAATATATAACAATAACAGTAATACCCAGTCATAGTTATTGGCCTTTATAACAGAGATTTAGCCAGACACATGAGAGAACAGGACTCACCCCCCTTGGTGAGTTCCCATCCCTATTCAGTTGGGCTCCACCACCTGACAAGTGACAAGGTTAACTAGGACTGCCAAAGAAAGTTCTTAGAATAGATAATGTACTTGTGTATGATTGAGAGTGAACATATTCTCCCTGCCAAACCCCCACAAATGACAATATCTGAGCAATAATAATACATCTAATTAGCTTTGCTCATTTAAGCTTCATTATATCTTTGTTTGGAGTCTGCTAGGACATTCCCCCCTGCCCCCCGCCACCTCAAAAATTCTAGAACACTAAAGCAGAGCATTTATCTTAAAACAAGAGATATATTTTTTACTCAAAAGGGATTCCCTCCCCTTCAATCTTGTCTCCTTGGTACCTGGCTAGGCAGAATCTGGATAATGAGTCATCCTACATCTTCTGCTCCCAGACATTTTCTATCTTTTGACCTCACCTCCTGTACATCCTAATTCTAGCCTCAGTGGAGTGAGTTGTTGGTGCTCTGCTATATACAGGAGCAATCAAATTGACTTAGCTCTGATATATTTCATGAGTAAGGCAAGTGTCAAACAAGCATTATTTCACTCATTTTCTGACCCATGAGCAGAGGCCAGGACAATATACACAATGAAAAGAGCGAGACTGTCTGTTAGATTGATTGAGAGGCTTGGAACCTCAGCTGAGTCAAGGAAAAATTAGCTGCCCTTAAAGTAGGAATAGTGAAATATAATATTTTGTCCTTGTTGAGATTTTAGTGAATTCAGCTGACTCTTACAGAACTTGACAGAATCTAGTTTTGATCCAATGGCATGGCCACAACTTCAGGACCTTCCAAGTCCCCCAATTTGTTTAAATCCAAAACCCAGAAGAAAGAAAAAATTCTTCCATCGTAGTCCTAGTTTTTTCCCATCTACTCTAGCTTGCCAAATCAGAATACTGTCCTTAGACCTCAAAGACATATGCATCCTTTAAATCTTCCTTTCAAGATGTGATCAATCAAAACATTAACTGTTTTCATCTTCACACAGCTGAGGTTTTACTGTGTCCATTCTATTGCAAAACTGATTTAAAAAATTTACTTTCTGGCCATGTGTAGCAACATGGATGGACCTTGAGGGTGTTATGCTGAGTGAAGTAAGTCAGTCAGAGAAGGACAAATATCATATGTTTGCACATATAGGAGGATTAGGAGGAACTTAATTGCGGACCATGGGGGAGAAGAAGGGGGGAAATGGTGGGGGAAAGGGAGAGAGGCAAACCATAAGAGACTCTTGAATGCTGACAAAAACTGAGGACTGATGGATGTGGGGGGAAGGAGGGTGGGTGGGCATGGAGGAAGGCACTTGTGGGGATGAGCACTGGGTGTTATATGGAAACCAATTTGACAATAA